AAACCATGGTGACTGGGCTTAACCAGTACTGACAGGAGTAATGTTTCAGCCAAAAGCCAGCTGGCTGAAAGTCTACTCAGAAAATACGGAAAAGATGGTGATTGGCAAATATAAACACTGTTGGGCCTGGCAGCCACAGCAGCCTCAAGACAGTGACTTATACCTCTGTTATCTCTGTTTTGTGGCACCGAGATTAGGAGATCAAGATGGGGCAACCAGGAGAAAGCCATGGAATTCCAGGTAGCTCCATATAACTGCTGCTCAGAGGCTGGGTAGTCTGCTCTAGAGGAAGGAATCCTCTTCTGCACAAATCCTGGCATCATGAAGGTGCAATACACAAGGAAGTCAACTCAGTCAAGACTATGCAGCCCTGCACCTCAGCCCTAGAAAAAACACTGCTCAGACTGATCCACAGTTCATATTTTCGCCTTGAAAACATGAGTATTACCTGCCTCATGGGAATTTCACTACAAAGTGTGCAGCAGGATAAAGACCAGCAAGAAATGGCTGGTTTATGATTGATTCAGCTACAAAATGATGGATGTTCTGTTGTTTAAAATACTTATATGAAAATAAATTTTCTTCGATTTTCAAAAGCTTCCCCATTAACTTGTACACAAATACAAAAATACTTCAGGAAGACAAACACTATCATGTTAGGCATTGGAGTCCTTTGACCATCTGGAACAAAGGCAAACGTTTTGTGGAAAAGTACACATTAGTAGGCTGAATTCATTAAATGCTAGTAATTTTAGCTCAAGTTAAAGCATCTGAGCCCTTAATGGGTTCAAGGGCACAGTATTAATCAACAAAGAAAGTTTCTAATAAAATTTGGCCTTGGGAAATTCTCTTATATATTCTTTCTGGGTGATGTTATTGTTTTGGGGGAGCTTATCTACTATCTTGCTGGGAACAACTATCCACTTTAATAAAGTGCCTAAAATAATGTAATAAACACACAGCTTATATCAATAGCATCATATTTCCCCACATAGTATTTGTGTGTGGTTTAATTAGATGGAAGGATTACAGGAAAAGTTTGTGTCATAATGATTCTTTAAAGCGAAACCATAGATCAAAGTTCATAGCTGCCAAATATACAACTTTCAAAACAAGCTCAAGTGCTGCTATTAATCATGGCTGCCGAGGGATTTGATGACAAAGATTAAACTGCTGTAAAGGATACTGCTGTGCATCAGATTCTTGCAACTGTCATCATATAGTCTGCCAACTATTAACAGGTCAGAAGAGTTGTCCAGCATTTACCGTGGGTGGCTTCATCACTGCAGTTGGTGAGGCTGTCTATGCCACGGTGACAACCAGTGACACCCTCCCAGACAGACATTTGTGGGTTGTTATTTTTTGCAGTGTGGCTGAAGTCTTAAGGTCTTCCTGTAGAGCAAACAAGAGTGGGAAACTGCAGGACCTCAGGCTCAAAGCACTGTATCCTCATAGGAACATCGCTTGTGTGGAATATTTTCTTATTTTCCACATGAAACACCTTCTCCTTGCTTACTGCATGTGAAGAGTGCCCACCTGTGGAGCTGAGGTGTTGTAAATTCACTCCTAGTTTCGCTGTGTATAGATAAGCCCTTAGAGAGTACCTCAAGGAGCAGCTTTCATCCCATTTGCAATTACGCCAACCCTCTCTCCTTCCACACTGGATCATGTAATATCCCTGTGGGAAGCTACAGCATTTGCTTACACAGAAACATAATATGAAGGAAGTATGTAAAGCATACTTTACAGGGTGGGAGCCAACAACCTGTGACCCATGAGCCAGTGTTCCATGGTGGGTCATCGATAGCCATTAGATGACATGTAGAGAGTTGTTAACCTACAGACCTATAATATGCTGCTGTCGCTGCTCATATGTAGCAATGTGCTTGAGAAGTGGCCTTTCTGAACCTCAGCTTTGTGGAGTCTGAAACTGGTATCAGAGTTTTGCACCGAGCTGTTGGTGTAACAGATGTGAATGACAGTCTGATGCAACAAGCAACAGAAGATTCAAATCCAAAACCACAGATTTGACTACAGTCTTCAAAGTTTAGGGGAGTTACAGATCTGATTCCAGACTTCACAGCTGCAGTCAGCTATAAAAGACACTTATCTATATAATGGGTTTAATCCAAACTACATCTGAATATCTGTCATCTCTGGGAATGTTTGGAGACACATCTGGCTGGAAATTTTTAAGCATCATCTCATCTTTGCTAGCAGTATCTTTCAAAAAAAAAAAAAAAAGAGAAAAGGAACAGAATGTTAAGACTTAAAATCAATAGCATTCAATCTCAGATTATTTTAAGTAGTTCAGCCTTTACCTTACCAAACACCTTCATTCTACCCAACACTTCATAATTGAAAGGTATCACAGATCATTACACTCCTTAATGTAACAGTTCTGTCCTCTACTGAATGCAGGGATGTGACATGAGACAGATCATTTTTAGACATTCGCAATGGTATACTTTGATGTCTAAAGGATCCTTTCTCATAGACCAGTCTTCACTTGCCTCCTCTTGATTTAAATTTCATTTTCCAAGGCTTCTCTCTCTCCACAAAAAAAATTCCTATGTGACTGAAACATTCAGTATTACAACCATCAGATGCTTGGTCCCCTTCTCCCTCCACCACCAAAATATGGGTTATTTAGTTATAGCAAAGTGAAAGAAATGCCTGCTTAGATTAACTGTTTTTATTTTCATTGTAAGATGCTTTTTAGTTACCACCAGAGTATAACTGGAGTGCATGGGCTTGGCATGTAATGAGTTCTCCCTGAGAACTGGTCTCTTAACATAGCTTTGAGATCTGCTTAACACTTGTGAAGTTACACTTTGGTGCAGGATTTACTAGAACAACATAAACGGCATTCGCTTGCACGTCTTTGTGTGACACTGACAACGTCCTGCCTGAGTATGGGGCAGGTAATCTGTAGTGCATGCTGTGTCAGCAAGGCATTTATCATACACCAACAGCAATGACATATCAAAGGGTCTTTGCAGATGTCTCTGGAAGCATTAGTGCCCCTATTGCACTTCAAAGAACACAAAGACTATCCAGGAACATTTCCCTGAATTGGGATCCATTTTTCTGGTTTTCTGGTTTCTGCCATCTTACATTTAAATATGGCATCTGGTTTTCTTCTTACCGAGAACCATATACTGAGTATAGTAACCAGGAAAGGGTGGGGAGGTGTTTTCCTTTGGGTTAGTGAAAAATATTGCCTGAGGAATGGAAACACTGCTTTGATTGTGATACAGCCTCTATTTTTATTACTTTTCTCTGTAAAATACAATAAAAACATTGTGGGAAATATATAGTCAATTATCTGCAGCGGAAAGGAATATACTGAGGATGGAGCACCAAATTCCACCCTTGTCTTGTCTTTCATTTTGAGACAGACTATGGCTCAAAAACTGCAGAAGCACAAAGTTAAAAACAAACTATGAGCATGTGAAACGCAAGAAGCCAGTCATCCATCTGAAAAGCACCATAAAGGGACAGAAAAATGCACAAGAAAGTTATGACTACAACTGCTGCATGGGTAAAGCACTCTGGAACAGAAAGAGGGGTGGCTTAGAGTCTGAAAATGTGGTATCCATAAAGCTCAAGTCGGGGGCACCATTACCACTGGCCACAGTTGAGTCCAGGTTTCCTTCAATGTGCTCTAAATTTATTCTTGGCTCTATATTATAGCATCTAAATAAAATCCAGTGGTGTGCAAATGAACATAAGCGTGCAGCATAGTCAAAGTGGCTGCAGTACTGACAAAGGCCAAGTCTGTGCTGGGCCTACACTTAACATTCACTGCCATAGACCAGCTTTTGGGTAGCACAAGTATTTTCGCATCATGCTTTATCCTTCCTGACCAGTCTTTGACGTCAGGTCTTATTTTAGGCTATAGCCCCCTAACATGGGTAATTACCCTTGTGAGAAGTGCACAGAATTATGTTTGGATAGAACTATACATTGTGGGTGCCATCACAGCACCTGTGACATTCCAAAAGTGTATGGTGGGACTGCAGGGTCTATTTGGGCTATCTGCACTTCTCCTGCCATTCCCTGCCGCAAACCTGGAGCACTGGTGCTTGTCTTGAAACCTGGTTGTTACTGCCAACATTTAGAAAGGCCACAATGGAAAAATGTGGAAATTCATCCAGCTCATGGAGGTTTAATGCTCATTCTGGTGGAGTGGAACATGTTGGATATTAACTATTTAGGGTAATATACCTCTGAAGGTGACAGATAAAATTCAGGAAAGTGTTTCTATTTGCCCACAGTACTTTTAGTCTTCCTGAAAGCAGTGCTGATCTGATTTACTGAGGCTTCTTAAAAACATTTACTTTACGGAGTTCAAATTCTAAAATTTGCTGGAACTGCTCTGTCTGGGCATTGGGCACCAAACTATCTGAGACAGTTTTATGGCCAATTCAACATTAGTTTGCAAGAATAAGTGGTGACTGCATAGGACTTATGCTTTTTTGGGTAACAAACACCTTTTCAGAGATTGAAGATAACAACACTGACTAAAAGCAAAGTTTAATTCTCTAGAAATGTTATTTTCTAATGAAGCAAGGCATCACCTCTTAAAAGTGTGTGTCATCTTGGCATGCCAGTGTTTTGAATTAACTGGGTAGCTGAGGAATATGGTGGAACATAAGCCAGAACAAGAACTTTCCTGTATTTTTGCATATATTAAATTGACATATCAACAACTTTGTGTTAAGTACAAGGTGAAATATTGAATCTGAGGTTCACATTAATGAAGAGCTCAACTGACAAGTTAATATATTTTGTCACCTGAAGTGCAAAGTCAGCTCACAAAAACCATTAACTCATTAAGTAATTACATAAACTGCAAACTTTTTAAACATACCTAGGTACAGATTGACTAGGTATATTATCTTTACAGGTAAAATATATCCATAGAATCTGTGAGCTACTTCTGATGATGATTTATATTTCTTCTGCTGAACTGCTCACAGTACAGGCTTACTACTATTAAAGACAACAATATCCATGATTTTCAGCTTTCTCCTGATGTCCATTGCTGCAGCAGAAATGAGCCCTCTCAGAATCTGACTGTGCTATTCAAAAAAAAAAAAAAAAAGGCTCTTATTAAAAACAGAAGCTTTCATTCTCTCTGGAGGCCTGATATTTATGATCAAGCATTTCATGCCTACTTCTCTTGCCCTAATTCTGGTCATTTGCAACAATGCTGGTGTTAAGTGACTATGAAACCAGAGTCTCTGAAGTAATCAGATTTTCAGGCCCTCTGCCCTATGTCACAGAGAATCATTTATTGCAGTACAATAGGAAATAAGGCCACTATGCATAACAGTATTTCTTGACGAAGAAATGTTGCTCATTGCTGAGTAACAGTACAGTCAGATGATTATAGGTTGCAAATTGTCAAATCAATAGATTTCTGCATTTAGAACTAGCAGAACAGAGAGCAAATGACCAAAGAAACAGCAGAGAGAGAAAACAGGCAGAGTACCAAGCACAGAGTACCGTGCTCAAGTCGCACGGAAGTGCTAACTTCCCAGATCCAGTTGATAGGGAGCAGCTGAATTGTTCTTAGCAGATGGGATGCCATGGGCTACAAGGAAGCAACCAAGTTCCATCACTGGCTAAAGAGCCCGGCAAGCAGCTCAGTCCCGTTTTCCCATGTAAAACCCTCAGAGCTCTGCTATCAGCCTCAGTATCTCCTTGTACACAACATCTGTTGGGATCTTTGTGTACAAATAATAGAGAGATTCAATGGCAGATGGTTAAACTGAACCATGTAAGAATTGTGGACTAGCTGCAGCTCGTTGTATTAAGTCTCTGAAACCCAGAGCTTACCTCAGAGTCACTTCCTTTGTTCTTCCAGAAGTTGTAGAGAAAAAAAAGGCCCAAGCCTCTCAGTTTTCCAAATGTAGTAAAAAGTGTTTGAATACACACTTTAATATATTTTCTGTGGCATTTTTGTAAAATACAGATATATAATTATAGATATAATGCATATATAGCATTTACTGTATTGATAAAAAGCTAGTCTTTTCACAATGACACACCAGTATTTACAATATGATTCAAATTTTAAGGAACAAATGAAACAATATTGTGTGGTTATATGATAAAAGTAATTTGAGGAAAAATAAGAGACCAGTTCTAAAAAATTCCCAGATGATAAAGTCATGTCAGGAGCACCTCCATGAACATCCATGCACAACCCTTTTTTTCTCCTCGTAAGAACATGCATGATTTAGCTCTTCCACATTTCTACCTAGTCAAAGCCCTTAAGATAACATGGGTAATTACCCTTTTTCAAGTACAGATTAATTGTACCATCTTTGCCATTTAAAAATTTGTCCAACTACAAAATCTCAAAGTTTTGGCTGGAGCAAGAATTACTATACACAAGTTACTTATTAATTTAAACCAATAAAGCTATGACAATTTACATAACTGAAAACTTGCCCATCTTGTACACATCTTAGAACCATTTAAAAAATCATTAGTGTGAGTTTGAATAGCATTTTCAGCATTGCAGGTCTTTTCTTTAAGATCTGCCTCAAGGACACTGCAATGCCAAAACCAGCATCAGACCTGAAGTACACAAATGCTCTTTCTTATCCTTGTATATGAACACTTCCTAGCCATTCATCTGTAACATACTGTCCACAGCACAGAAGATGTAAAGATGATCTTCATCTTCAATATACTGTCACCCTTTTCTACGAGGCATGAAGTGCTATTATCACATTTTACAGAAGAAAAAAAGTCTGATATAGAGAGACTGAGTGAACTGCTCAAGGTCACTTAGGAAGTTTGAAACAGCAAAGAAGCAAACCCACATCTCCTCAATTGCATCCTCTTGTCTTTCTAACTTTGAATGAGAACTTTATATGTATCTTCTTTAACAGAAACAAATATGCAAGCAATAAAAATAAAGCATTCTGCAGGCACAGGCTTCAAGATAGTTGTGGTTTCTCTTCTATTCCCACATAATAAGAGGAGATAGCAAGAGGGCTGTTTCTGCCTGCATTATCTCCATCCCACTAATGAAATGCAAGCTGAAATGAGTCCTTCTTGAAGTGGGAGTGGTTAAGTGCACTATTTGCTAGAAAAGACATAGGAACACTTGAGAAACATGAAAATTCACTTTCACAAAAAAAATCTAGCGTAAAACTTGAAAGGCCTTAATCTTCTTCAATGCTTATTGGGGAAACATTTTCATCTATATTTGTACCCACCTTATAATGCCTTTGTACCACCTGCACAATATAAATGAGGCTTAGCATACTGTTGAAGATGACCTGTCCTCTCAAGCATCAAAATTAGTTCTACAACCTCTGTGGTTAAGCTCTGACAGGGCAGCTGAGAGGCAGCTTTTGCAGAAGGACTGATACACACCTGTGCTGTACAGGTGCAGATGAGGGCAGAAATTTCACCATGACAAGTGTTTCTTTGTGTCCTTGTCACTCTGGAGAAGTGTGGTCAGGAGCAGATTGTGATCTATGTTCTTACAAGTGCCATTTAAAAACCAGAGGTGGGAATGAAGGAAGCCTCTCCAATTCCAGGACAAACGCTGACAGAAATAAAGCAACAGGAAGTCAGCTATGACCATGTTCTGCTTCCAGAAACACTTGTGGGCAAACTGGGTCATCTGCCTAACTGATACAGGTGATGTATTTTTGAGACACTGAGATACTTTTGCCCTTACTAAAAACAAACAAACAAACAACAAAAAAAAAAACCAAAAAACACCAAACCAAATCCAAAACACAACAAACACACAAACAAAACAGGTAAAACCAATAATGGAATTTCTCATTTTGCTCACTTTTTTTTTTCTAAATCAAACCTGCATTTTCCTTTAAAAAAAGTAAAAATACAGAAACAAAGATACTTTAGAATATCCTACTGTCCAGTAAATGTCTTATAGGCAATATTTATGGAGGAAAAAATGCATCAAGCCCTTCCTTTGACAAAAACTAAGCAACCTGAACTTCATTCCGTACTAAGGAATGCTGCTTCTAGTGCTGTTGGTTTAAATTATTTCTATCACCACAATTTGAATACACATTATTAGTCTTCAAATATCTAACCATAAATCTAGACTAATGCTGAAAAAAAAAATCCTAGTGAGAATGCTGTGCTGTTGATAAGCTAAAAACAATGTATCATGAGAAGGCAAACTAATCTTTCAATTTACTTTGTAAATAATCCATTAGCTAAACTTCTATTTTAGGCTAGATGCTTCATGCTCAACACTTACAAGTCCAAATATCCTTTGTATCCCTTATAACAGAGAAGAAACTTGTAAAATGCCTTTGGTGTATCAGCTTATCATTGCATGAATGTTTTAAAGAAACTCACTAGTGCTATAGGAAATGGGTAAGTGGGCTTGTTTGTGTTGTTTAATACTCCAAGTGTCATTTCGTTCTTTAAAGGCGCTGGAACAGAGGAGGGGGAAAGGGGAGGAAGTCTTGCTTAATTTGTTGCATATGTCCCAATGTGTTATACAACTAAGTGTATTATACCAGAAAACTAAAGCAGTCTGCAACAGAGCAAATTCTGTGTAACTCAAAATAGGAAAATAATCTGGCCACAAGCAAGTCAAAATTTCAGTAAAACTTCCTCTCATATTATATATATATACACGCACTTTACAAGCTACATCGAGTGTCCCTTCATATTCCAAAAGAAATACATTGTAGACACCAAACATACTGTACTTTTACTTAAAGGCTTCATCAAACCATATGTGCAGACACTTGAGAAGACGAGAGTGTCAAGCTTCCTAGGGTCCTAGAGTCAAAGAAATTTTGCTGCCCCCCACTGCTAAGTAAGTGCACTCCTTCCACAGGGGGCAACATCTGCCGATCCGTCATGGTTCCACTTGGCGAGGACCCCAAGAAACTTCCTTGGGAAGAAACGATTTTCTCAGGACTGGCAGCCAGTTTAGGAGATGTGGAAAAGTTATATCCATAGAGAGCACAGGGACTGTGCAGTCTAAACGTGTTGTAGGAGCCTTGGTGGGTTTGATTAGTGGTAAAGGCATTGCTGGATGGGGATGGCATGATGTACTGGAGCTGTGGAGACATCCCTGAAATCTGCATAGATAAGCCAGTCTGTGGGCAGCTGAATGCATCCCCATCATTGCCACTCATCGACATATTCACAGTTGTGCTACTCGACACACCGACATAGGAGGGAGTCCTCGGGGGTGCAAACGTCTCACTGGTTTGGTTTGTGAGCCTGTTGTAGGTTTCAGCCAAGGAAGTGCTGTATCTGTTCAGGGTCAAGCCTGAGCGGGCACAAGCTGTGTAGTCAGCTGGAGCAAGGGTACACAGCTGGCTAGTGTTGGGATTGAGGTGGAAGGCTGGAGATGAGCAAGGGGAACCCGGTAAAAGGTGAGGGTGGGTAGATGGCACTCCACTGCCAGATCCCTGGAGTAAAGTAGAGGAACCTGCATTTCCTGGAAGAGAATGTTACAGCGTAAGAAGTGCGTTGGGGAAGTTCACTTCCTAGGTGACAGATCAAGACCTTTGGCTTTTATAATAACCCTTGACATGAAACACAACTCAAACTAATTAAAAAAATCTTTTACATATATGTGCAGGAGGGTGTGTGAGTAAACCACATGCATATTTCTAAACAAGCAACTTGACCAGGAAAGAGAACTGAAGTTACATTTTTACAACCGTCACTCAATATTTAGAGCTCCTGCCCAAAAGATTAACTGCTCCTTATATGACACTGGAAGGAAATTGCATGGCAGTTAAGATGTAGCCAAGTGAGTACCACATCACAGGAAGCCTTCTTCAAAATGATGATTTTTGATGTGTCTGTGTTCTCACTACAGTCTGGAGTGTGTTTCAAGCACTCTGTGCCTGACTGTCACTATCAGAGCACCAGCTGAGGAACCAGCTGCTTAGCTCAGATGATAGAGGCTCCCATAGTTAACAGCTTCAGGAAAGCTACTACTAACTTCAGAACAAAAAAATTCCAACTTCAAACCAAAAAAATCTGAGAACGAAGCTTCAGAACAACTTCCGAAAGAGTGTAGGCTGAATACTGCACACAGCTGCTTCACTTCTTGAACAGGCAGGATTGCAGCAAACTGTTTGCAAATTGTCTATTTACTGATATAAGAACTTTTTAAATTACAAATACCAGTACTGAATGTTCCTGAAAACACACTGCTACAGGTGAAACCTTTTCTCAGGACTGAAAGTTTCCCAGCTGCAAGAAACACTTCCTTTCTTAAAGAGATTGTATCTCAGTGAAAACTGACTGTAGAAAAATTAATTTGGGCCTTTCACAGTCTCCCAGGCAGAAGACTCTTAACATGGCAGACTCTCCCATTTGTGAATCATATTAACAATCAAACGGCTGGATGCTGCAAAGAGATACATGTTGTCAATAAGCTAACACGTTATCATGATAGGTGAGCTAGTAAAAAGAAACATACATTATTAGTGAACAATGCCTGCTGCTTTTTGCTCTGTTAACAGGACACCACAAAATCAAAGCATCATTAGACACTGCCACATTCCATAAATCCTAGTATAAGACATATTTTTTCTTCCAATCTACGCCAATGCCTCTGCTACCTGATGACAGGCACTTTCAGCATTAATAAGCCAGGCAAATTTCTAATGGGGTCTTTCAGAAAGTCTCTAAACCACCCTAACGTCTAAGGTATAGATGACTAAAGACTTTGCAAGGATCCCAGTTTCTATCCTCAGAATATCAACAGTAACTTCAACAAGCTCCTTAACCCCAGGCAACAGCAGAACAGGAAGCGAGAAGTTCATGGCAGCAGTTCCCCTGCTCTCAAACAATGCTCCTACATACAAACAGGGCAATAAAGCTGGTCTGTCTCCTAAATGGATTAACTGCATAGTGAGCTGCCTTTCAGACAAGGCATTTCAGGTTTGATGCTAACTTCTCGTTACAGACCTTTTTTATGAGAGTGTCCCTCACCCCTGTGCTCCACTCAAAACTCTGCCAACACTCAGGCAATGTATCTGTGACTTGGCACAAAACCTCCTTTTGAGTTCCCCACATCAAGCACTGATGCTCAGGATTTCTCAAAGGAATGAGCTAAGAAGCTGATAAAAGTTATTTCTCTGACTTTCTGTATTTTCTGGATTTTTGCTTTTAAGATGTTTAACAACTTTGCAATACATTATCAAGAAAGCAGACTGGATGTTTGTAAATTTGGCAGCAGGAGACGCGAAGAATCAGGAGCAATATGTCTGATTTTGTTGGGAAAAAGATGAGAAGTTTAATATTTGCACTGGGGTTCTCTGGAAATAAAAGAATTCAGAAAAGAGTAGGAAGATTCTACTCTCTATCCAAAAAGGTCATTTAAAGGCTATTTATTTCATTCATGGCACTACCTGTATGATGGGGAAAGTGGAAACCAGGAGGTTTCCAACCAAGACTGAAGAGCAAGAAAAAACAAAACAGAGAGATCCATTTTTTCAAGCTCTAGAATGCTGTTAAAGTTTGTTGACACATTTACTGAAAAATTTTTAGGTCTTTAAGAATCAAGAAGGCATTCCAAGAAGAAACCCAGTTAAGCTTGCCACTATTTACTCACGACTTAAGAGGACATTTATTCTCTCATTCCCTTTTTTTTTCTCTTAAAAACACAAGAAATTCCTGCATTGGAGTTTGGATGTGTACAATAGATGTCATCTATAAATGATCTCTACCTTTTGTATGTAGCCAGTGCATAGCTCTAAGGAATAGGCTATTCAATCTTTAAACTGAATAATTCAAACCCTTAAACTGGAATTCTCCTCCACATGTGATCTGATTTATCTTTACAATCTAACATTTTTATTGCCACAGTGATTGAATTAGCATCACCTTCTCAGCTTAGAATAACTCTGATGAGAGGTGATAGCCTGCACTGGGGTTAGTTGGTTGTTTTTTCTCTACAAGCGACACAACTTTCACAAAGTATGATGGGCAAAGCTTTATCTTCATGCATTTTTCTTTTGAAAGAACACAAAGACAGCCATTACCTTGTTTGGGTATCCCAGGTATATCTTCAAATGTAAGCGTCCTTAGAGAAGGTCTCCAGAAGGCATAGGACTCTACCAGAGCTTCCAGTCCCATTCTATTTAGAACAAAAGAACCAAGGTGGCATGAAAGCAAACTGTATTTTGTCACATATCTCTGGACACTCTACCTCAGAAACACATAAAAACTAGTAACATTTCAGGATAATTTTGAAGTTGATTTTGCTTTGTAGAAAAGAGCCTTACATCCTATCCATGAGATCACTGAGATCTCCTACCACTGGGCTTGCAGCAGACAGAGTTTTCCAATTCCATAAGTCTGGCTCTCTATTTCAATATTTTGGGCCTCTTGAGAGGGCTATTTGAGTGGGGAGCCTTGGCTAAATGTTAAAATGTTTTCCTAGTATGATATTTCCTTAAGAGATCATTCCTCTGCCTCTAACTGCCAGAGGGATGTTCTATTTCTGCCTAGAACAAAGGTGATCCACTGACAACTTCTATTAAAAAAATAGGATTCCCGTTCATTACTGATGAGCTAGAAAATTACACTTAGAACATGAGCAAGGCATGGGTGTACAGCTCTTTTGCCACTAAAATGTATAAAGCAATGCTGTGTCTCAGTTATTACGTGCTGAGCAAAATGCCCTTACAAACCAAAAATCTTCAGCGATTTTCTTTCAACAATGTAATGAGAAAACTGAAATAACTGGGTAGATAGTGCTGGCAGACACTATTTATAAGAATCTCTGTTTCTGAAGGTAAAGGCCCATTTGTTTTCTGACAATTATTTATGAATAATGCACCTCAGAAGCATAAATACTCAGAGGTATAATTTTGCTGTTATTTTTGGCTGCTGGGCCTCAGAGGCCTGTTAAATGTCAACATCGGGCACACACCAAAAACAAGTGCTTGCCTTTGAGCAGTAGCACTCTGTAAACTCGAATTATGCAAATAGCCCAATTTGAAGCAACCAACAGGTTCTGATACTGCTCCTTCCCCACTGCATTTCCAGCAGGAACACAAATGTGTGTCAGGAAACATTTATAAAGTATTTATTAGCTGAACCTGGACTAAAAGGATAGCCTTAATTTTCTGCAGTAACGGTGAATTTTCAATTCTAGTTAAAGTGGAGATAAAAGCCACCTCCTGGAGGAGTGTAGCCAAGGCGATAATTTATACAAGATGCCTTCGAACAATTTCCACTTTTTATCACCACCCTAATTTGCGCTATCAAATGGCCAAGTTTATTTAACAAAACAGTTATGTTTTTCCTGAAGTATTTAAAGGAAGAAATTCTGGTCCTTTCCTGAGTAAAAGTTTTTATAGGGTCAAACTTAAGGCCCAACTGAAGAATGAAACTATTCTCAGCACATAAATTCTGTTGCACTTTGCAAATGCACAGGGAATGCTTTTAAAAGGTGAAGCTACTGATTTCTGTAAAATAGGCTGTGGGACTGAATGGGAATGACCTGAAAGGGAATATTTTTAATTAAACATGCAATTTAATTATTGCATGCAGCAGTGCAGAGTAAGATAGCTGCAATAATTAAAGCAATATTGAAAAGCTGGATATAATTTTACCACAGTGTTTTTTTAACCTTTTGTTGCTGTCTGAAATACCCGAATGATAAACACACCAGCTACAACAATGAAGATAACAAAACCTTAACATTTAATTTCAATATGTATTAATCATTAGTTGAGTAAACCAATAGACATTTTCCTTGACAATTAAAAATCTGAGCTGCATTCTCAAACACTCCTATTCAGTACCACAGAGACTATCAAAGAAAACAGCAATACTGACTTCAGTAAACCAATGTCAATTTGCAATGGACAAGAGTTTGCAGTCACTTCTGTAACGACTGTGTTTGTACAATAAAAGCATTCAGATCTCATCTAAAGGCTGCTCCAAAACATTTTAGAGAGGCTTGCCCTTCTATCAGGACTGGCCTTCTTAATCCCTTTCCATAAAATATAACTGTCTTTCAATTAAAATATCCTGCTTTTTTTTTAATGCCTGAACCAAACTATTCCTAGCAGTCGAACCTAAAAAACCTCTCTGGATATCCCCAGTCCTACAATTGGATCTGTGTGGTTGCAGATACCGAACTCTTACAGCACTTACATTGTCCTCAGGTAATACCACAGCTGTCCTGCTTCATTAAAACCTGTTCAAAACTGGTTTCTGAACAATTCTTTCCATTCTATTTTAAAGGGAATCCTCTCTTGTTTTATATAACATTATGGAAGAAATTCTAAATCCACTTAAACTCATCTAATTCAGAGGATCAGGATTTCACACTTCTTAGGAGGTTCCTTAGTACTTACTTTATAGTTCTGCAAAAAAGCAAGCATACCAGAGACACTGCCCACGGAGAGCTTTCAAACAGGGCACGTATTGCAACTCTTTTCTTCCCCAAGTACACACAGCATGTTTTGCTTCTTCAGTCAGTGCATTTATCTGGAAGTTACTGTTTACTTAACTTCTGACTAGAAGGCTACAAAGGAGGGCAAAATTCTATTTATGTCAGTGCCTGGAGCACCACTTCCAGGCCCCAGAACAAAACATGGCAAATTGTTTCTCGATAGAAGACAAAATCTCAGAGATACTGAAAAGATACTTACAGTGAACTCCTGTAAATCTTTACAACTACCCTACTCCTTCTGTAAGTATTCATCTTCTAAAAACTACTCGTTTGCTGTCCAGTCTCAATTTTTATATAACTCAGGTGGAACCAAAAAACAGGCTTTAATGCTGTAGCCTCTGCTAACAGAGAAGCTCAATAAAAGTAACTATCAAAAAGAAACTCTCTGATCATTCCTGCCAGCACACAGTCTGCTCCTTTCTCTGCAGGGCTAGGGCATAAATATAGCAGCTGCAGACACCAAATGAAATGTGGTCACTGGAACTGATGTACAATATACACCATAATGAAACACTGCCTTTTTTAGCTGAAACGGTTTAACATACAATTCATAGCAGGCTTAAGTAGTTTGCATTAAACAGTCTTTGGATAAAATACCTCATCAGCACTGGCAGCCCGGACTAGACCCAAGTCTGCACTTTGCACTACTCAGATTTCCCATTGCTATTTTCAAAGATTCACAGATCGAGAGAGAACAAGCAATTAATCAGTCCATCCACAACAGAAGAAATGGAAACCATCCTTATTTCAAAGTCTTTTATAGCCTACTAGGAAAGGCATTCACCTAGGAAGTGGATTTAAAACTCCTTAGACTAAAAAGACACTTGAACACAGGTCTCCCACCTCCTGTGCAAGTGTACTAAACATAAGGTTACTGTACAAACCAATTTAGTTTTTAAGAGAAAACAACAAGCCATTCATCCATACTAAATGCCACTTACATGCAAGAGAACCTGGGCTTATAGTTTGACAATGGTATTTGCAATTTGTGTCTCCAGCCAGGAGAAAGAGGAGGTTTCAAGAGCAGCCTGAAATCACAGACCCGAGCATGCATTAATTCCATTTGCAGCCTTCATGGTATGTCACTGCTTACACTGAAAGGAAACTTGAGTACATGCGTCAAGCCGAGTGCCAGCCTGTTTTTGACCTAGATGGTCAGAGGAGCAGGAATGAGAGCTCACCACAGAGAACATTGCTGGGAAATCTAAGTGCTCCCTCCAGGAGTCTGAGTTCTCAAATTAGTTTGTCTGTAGATACACATATTCACCTTGAACAGCCTTCACAAAGTGATTCTGTGAGCCTGTGAGCAGTAACAAGCCCACGTCCTTCCCAACACCTACCTGTTACGACCCGAATCTCTAAACCCTTTGGCGAATGGATTCCTATCAATCTTCAGACGAGTTATCTGTGAATATGATTAGAGAAATTGTTACCCGTAAATTCAGCTGAATAGCACATAAAATGACTCTTCTGAAAGAATTAAGCTGACAGTAGAAACATCTTCACATTTGCATGGTTTAAGATGGTTGTCCTGAAACATAGCAAAATAAGGTCCAATTTTCTGATCACTACTTTTGCAGATCCCCAGAGAAACTAACACGTATTTAATGCTGCCAAGTGGCAGGCTGGAACTATTGAGCAAAATCTTCCGGCAAATGTCATTCTTCACCCAAGAGAGTATACTGCCTAACTGCAAAAAAATTTAAATTAAATTGCATTTCTGTATGGGTCAAGAAGAAAATGTGAAAAAAACAGATTATCTCTAGGTTACTATCCTCCACAAAAAAAACCCAAAACCAAAACCAACATCACCACCACCACCACCCCACACCCAAACAAACAAAACTATCCCAGGAAAACACTCCCTACTCCAAATACTTGTAATTTATTTGAAAAAAATCAGAAAGGCACCAAATAATTATATTTCAGTAATTACACAGTTCTCCTACTCTTCCATTTGTAAAGATATCAGTGCATATATAATTTCAAAAAATACAGCTGCAGTAACTTACGTGGAATTAATAAAATGTCACAACACTAACTATGATGTCACTATGTATGCTAACACTTAAACAAGTAGTAATAAGAGCCAAACATTGGAGTGATGCAACCTGTTGTTTACTTTGAACCCAGATAAATTGCCATTAATAATACAAGCTGAATGCAGTTAATGAAAATGACTGCAACTTTCTTTAGACCTCTGTTAAGGACCTGGGAGTTCTGAAAGCACTGGAGTCAGGAATAAAAGTGCTTTAAAAGTTCTATCCAGACATGTATCAACACTTAAAGGTACAGAAACCCCTTTAAAAATTACATTGCTCTTTGCCTTGTTCTTCAATGCTGTATTTATAATTAAGACACCATCAGACATGATAATTAGACTGTGTGATCCCCATAATAACAATGTTTTTTTACATACAGCATCTAGCCCATGTGGCCTCAAGTCTCAGCTATAGCCTCCAGGTGCTGCTGCAATACTACCAGTGAAAGCTGCTTGCAGCACAAAAAAATGTTTACACAACTTTATTTTAATAAGTAGTATAATGAAAGTATCTGCTTTTCTCCTATCTCTGATGTCCCTGGTCTGCTCTGAAAAGCCTGTAAAGTGCCAAGCAGATAGCCCAAATTACCTGTTGATTTTGGTATGCTGTGACAGTAGTGAAAACTGTCTCTGGAAAGGAGAAGGCTTTCACCCCTTCTCCTGAAGGGATGGGCTTGACAGGGGAGAGATCATCACCACAATCTTTTCGGATGACATGGACACGAGGCTGATATTTATGCATAGAGTGAAGGATAATCTATGCAGTCGTGAAAGGAAAAAGATAACATTTATTAGAAAGGACGCCCTGCTGTTACAAGACTAATAGCTTTTTGGAACAGATTAATGGTATGTGTTTACCATGCCACTTACTGGAAATGAAATGTTTTCTTTAACCTCCGAAGGTTCTTATTACAGTAGTCTAATCCCTGTGCATTTATGTTATTGCCAACCCTAAGCATTTAAAAATTACGACTCAGGAGCTCCAAATTCAGAGACTGGCTTGATTGAAACTGACTCAAAAAAAAAAAAAAAAAAAAAAAAAGAAAAAAAAAAAAAAAAAAAAGGAAAAAAAAAAAGAAAAAAAAAAGAAAAAAAAAAGACAAATCTGGAGTGAAGTCCAGGTCCCACTGGAATTATCTAAGTTTTGTCACTTTTTTCCACTGAAGTCTGAATTTGATCTAACAGATTAACAGCAGCAGAAATTTGCCTTTTGTTTTTGAAACCTTTGGGATATGCTAGTGGAGCAATATTTTCTCCTTATATCCCAAAGGCTAGAAACAAATCTTTTCTGGAACACAAGCTGAGACTCTCACATTCTGAAGAAGCATAAACTTGAGAGTAAAATGATACCAAAATCCAAACCCCTAAAGTGTTAATAACAACTAGATTGATAATACAGATAATGAATATCCATTAATAAACCCCTCCAAGTATACAAAAAATCAAAAATAAATTATAGAAGTATATGAACTCATAATGCATAAAATTAAACACAAAAAAACCTTTTGGTACTGCACCTAAATTTTAGAGGAGATTTAAAATACAGAATTTTTCCTATATTTTACTCCACTTCAGCTAACCACTATTAAAATAGAAGATTTCAAGAAAAAAAATAAATTGGAAGTTCAACTATTATTGTTGGAAGCCTTAAGAAATTAGTAACTCAATAAATAAATAGTTCTATGGCTATTGGCCTGTGGAACCACTAATCAACATTCTGGGGAAGCTTTTTAATTTCCTGCTCCTTGAGTAGCCTCAGAATGTGCGTGTGCACAAGTACTTAACAGAGCCCCTATGCTAGACACCATGGAACTTCATTCATCCAAATGATATAGAGGACATTACATTTATTTGGATAAACTAGAGTTTGGCCAGTTTAATACACTTGGTCCTGGCCAGATGACATGACCCTGTTTTGGATAAGCCAAGTTTCTGCATAATCAGGGGTTTTATTAGCCTGTGAGTAAGGTTTTGAAAATGACATCACAGGCTCCAATTAATTTGCTCAGGGAGTGCCCTATGGATGTTCTCATATGAAGCCTTTTTCTAGTTTCTGAAATCTTGAACAGAGTAAGATTTTTTTATCATGCAAACGTGTATTCTCTTTTACAACACTCATTTCAACTCTCCACTGGCAAATATCTACAAAATAAAAATGCAGAAAGGACAGGACATTCCTGACCCTGTTTTCCTATGAATATCCAATGATACCATGGGAGATACTGGTGCAACAGAAAAAGAAATGATCAACGAAAGGCACTTCACTGTTCAAACCCACTGCTATTTGCCTTGCCATTCGCCTAGGTGCCACTGAGCATGCCATGTTCTGCTCCCACACAAACTGATTGACCCCATCAGCTCTGTGGTGCAAACCACCACTTGCCCACACAGCAGTGATAACCCTGGCAGCTACAAACAGCTCTGCTCATGTAGCTGAACAAGGGAAATCAAAGAAGCATGGAGAGGAACACCTCCCACTGCTTATCTGGGTGGCTATTACAGCTAAACTGATCTGTGGCATCTCTTAAGAGCAACCTGTCTGGCCTCCGTCCTATACTAAAATTTCCTGCACTGACACACTGCTGGCAGCTAGCAAATCCAAAGCAATAAATTTTTTTAATTGATTTTGTACTATGCCTTATAATGATGGAATCTTTGTTAATGATCAGAAGGACTCTGAATTCTAAATAATACATAATTGCAAAGCCCTGGTGAATTAAAGAGCAACACTACGAAGATATGACATAAAAGGAGAGGGAGATGAAACATCCACTCCGAAAACAGTTTAGCTGTATTATTCTAAGCATCACCTAAAGCTACTGCAAAGAAAAAGCTAAGGAAAAGGAGATTCTGGCTTTTCATTTCACAGTGCTTGCACATTTAAAAACACAAACGGGATCTAACAGTTTAGCTTCAGAAACAGCAACTTTCCCTTCATAGCCTTAAAATCCAATAACAAAAACACCAATCAGAAGTCCCACTGTGTTCCCAAACACGAACTGGCATTACTTTCAACTCACAGTTGAAAAGCCTGCCTCTCTCTATAAACCCCTCACAACGTAAGACCAAAAAAACTTCATGGGGAAATAAACCTCTCCCACCAAAAGTAAAATTAAACTTTGGCCACAGCAGCTGCCAAGAAATCATTATCAGACGGAAAATGCCGCAGCAGGAAGGCCACAGGTAGGTGGCAGAGCAAAGGTGACCAAAAGCACCTGTACACACACAAAGCTGGGATTACCTTTGCAACGTGGCTTTTGAGAGCTGCTGCCACGATGAGGCCTCAGAGCTGACCATGAGCACAACCATCACAGCCAGAACAAGTGAGAGCTGAACGCTCCTTCACAGGGGAGATGCCAATCCTCAGGCAGCTTGGCAGTGCCAAGACTACACAGTTACCTCCCCACCACCGGTGTGGTCCTTGCTGCTGGTTTTACTAAAAATCCTCTTTCATCCTCTCTCCAATGCACATGCAATCAGGTTTTCTGCAGTCAGGGAAGCGTGGGGCTGAGGAGCATGGATTTCCTCTTGACTAGGACAAAATCTGCAAGTGCAAATGCTGATGTTTCACAGCTTTTCATTGTGACAAGAATATATAACTACCCACTGACTGTAAGCAGAGCTCACTACTTGGAGCCAAGTCTGGGCAGAGTAACAGTCCGCCTCTGCTTCCAGCCTCGCCCCACTTTCAAATGGGGAAAAAAAACCACCCCAACCACCAAGGAACAATTAACACGCTAACAGCCTCATTTTCACTAGAAGTTAAAAGATGTTCCTCTGCATCAAAAAAATACTCAGTTGAAAAGCATGGAAAATAGCATAAAAAATATTGACTTTTCCCCTCTACTGAAATTCAGATTAAAAACTGCATTGAAACAGAAAAATCAGCCAGCTCTAACCAGCCGGAGGGAGAGACTGCTTTTACAATGCAGCACTTAGTCCACAAATGAGAGAGGGATGAAAGGCATTAAAAAAGAGCATCCAGACCATGCACTACTCCACTTCTCAGTGACAACTGCAAAATCCAGCTTTACTTTTCCTTGCCATCACTATTTAGATGAAAGACACAAAAGCCACAGTGTGTGTCTTAATGCCTCTATAAGAACACAGTATTTCCAAAGTAGGGAATTCACCCTGGAACTTTCTTTTGAGATCAGAAACACACAAGGAAAACATATCCTTACAAATTTTGCTTGATCTTCTCAAGCCTGCAAGTGAAACCCATATATCAGAGTGTCCTATATGCAGATGTACTTCAAAATCTCTGCTCAAAACAGAGCTATAAAATTGCATCTGCACAAACTCCCACTCAAAATACTGTTGAAAACAGCAGCAGGCAAAAAGGAGACTGGAAAGCACTTGAGCAGCAAAGCAAGTCATCTTAGAGATGGCTGATCTTTCACAAGATGCTAACCTCCGAGCAATACACTGCAAGGGCAGTTGGCCACCTGGAACTACTACCACAACATAAATATTGCTTGAGAATACTACTCAGTGCCTGTTTGCAAATACTGTCCCCATTCCCACACTTCTCTCACAGATTCTGACAGTTAATACTCTAACATAGGTAAAAAGGCTCTGGATTGTTGTCATGCAAGCTCCCTACAAGACCAAAACCTACCCCATGGATTTTAACACAAAAATTCTGCAAAGGCTTATGCCTTTGAGGAGCACAGGAAGAGTAAAGGAACAATTTCAGCAAGGATTAAATTACCAGAACCAGAGAGCAGGGAAAGCACACCCAAAGAACTAAAGCCCAACACTGCTTGGTAGAGACCCCGCCAAGGTTTCTCTGAGCCACTCTGCCTAAGTAGGAGAGGAAAAAACTCACTTTCTAATAATATAAAATATACTTCGTGTCCCATACAGGAGTGGAAGAGTCAGAACACTTGATGTAAGAACAAATATTGGAGGGGCAGGAGAACCTTGACCCCTGGTTCTTCTAATTCCTCATCCCTCCCCTGGTAGCCTCTTGAGAGAAATGGTTCCTTCCTGCTTATGAGAAACAATTGCTTTTCATATTCATCACAAAATATGATTATTCGTTTTCCATTATTGCCAGAGGCATTCAGAGGCTACACAGCGTTTTCAATACAGCATTCCACACTGCCATAGCTTTAAAAGAAAAAATGTACCCATTGGAAAAGACACTTTGCTGCTTTCTGCTTTTGCCTTTTCTGGTAATTATGAATGACATGTTTGCAATTTCCCAGATTTGAGAAATATGAAATTATTTTACAGTCATCCTTCTTTTGTCCTTTTATTTTAATACTTAAATTTCTACTTTGGGGAGGAGGGACACTGCCATAGCTCTGAATCAGTTCAATGTGTCTCAAATCGCTGCACTCGGGTTTTGCTTCACTCATTTCCAAGTCGAAATACTTAACTAAAGACCAGAAAATTTATATCCCCTCATATTATGAATAATGGTGTGCTGTATACACTACACAGGTTTCAGTTCAGAACAAAAACAAAGCTAAAATCTAGAATGGAAAAATACAGTAATACAATTCTCTGCATAGCTAAGATTTCATCACAGGGCAGTTTGCAACTGCAAGTGCACAGGTAGGCCACAGTACCCATGTATTGCCCTTCTGAAATGAGGCAGTACACAAACCAGCTGGCCTGCTCACCGGTGGAAAAGCAACACTTTACCCATTTGCATCCACTTCACTTTTAGAGCCCTTGTAACAGACTCACGACTCAGAGAAAGCAACTCCCACTCAAGAGGAGTCACAAATACACAAATGCTGGGGAAACTAAGGGAACTTAGTGTGCTAATCCTGACTCAAATGGACACTGCCAAATAACACTCCCTAACTGTAATTCTGGAAAGAAGCAATATAAAACATCTTTCTTATTAGCCAAAGAAAAGCACTGCTAACATAAGAGACATGAATACCCCCACATTTCTTTGAAGGAAAAATAAAATAAAATTATGAATATTATTATACAAATGGAAGGCTTTTTATCTTTGTTATTGTATTTGCTACCTCAGCTCAGCCACTCTCTTATATTCCTGCCTTTGTTAATCTCATTTGCAAACACAAATGGGGGAAAAAATCTCATACTTAAACTTAGACTATGCATTAACAAAATACCTGGCTCAGTGTCACAGAGTAACAGCTATACAAAAAGATGCATGTAGTATCTTTGTACTCTGTTCCAGGTATGTTTTCTTTCACTCCCTTCCTTGAAGCAGAAACTATCCTGGTTAATAAATCGGGTTATGCTAAGGACAATGGAATCCACATCCTGTCTCGAAACTTGCCTCCAACATCTTAAAACTCTACCATTTGGAACTTGATGCTCCTTCTGAAAGGATGCCAACATTTGCCATTTATTATGGGAGTTTGTAAAATCAAAGACTTCATCCTGACTAAAAACAATTCTCCTTTTTTAATTATTTCTTAAGGTGTCAAGTAAAACTATTTTAGGGATTGCTGGAATGATACTGGTTTACATCTGTCATGTTTCAACAGTTTTGAAGAGAAAAGGAAATATTAACATAACACATTTTGTCACATTAGATAATGTCATAACTAAACAATTTAGAACTTGCAAACAGAACACTCATACTGCATACGTCTTCGCCAGTTTTTTCAGAAGTAATGAGCCTCAGCTGTGAAAGGGTCTTGCTTCATAAGGTATGTAATAAATCATCATCGGAGCAAACCCAGCTCCCATGTTGTTCGTTTTTGACTGCAATTATTAACACCTCGTGGGATTTCACACAAATGTTTAGGTTAAGAAAATACTTAAGCGTATTTTTATTCATGTGAAGTTATTACACAGTATTAATGTTTCTTCTAGCCACTTGTGAATTTAAGCGTCCTTTTCGATCAGAGCAGAAGTTGCAAGTAACACGCTCGGTGGGAAAACACGAGAGCAATTCTGCCCCTTTGTATTAGGCAATTTAACCTTGTAAAATCTTACTGTGCAGAAGGAGTTCTGTTTTTGAGGGCGGGGGAGTAAAACAGCAGGGTCTAATAAGCAGTTAATTATCGGAGCAGAAAGTAAGCAGATTTTAGACCTGGACAGTAAAATTCCAAAATAACTTTGAAAAGTCAAGCCTATTTCTGGCACCCTGAAGCTGTACGTCAGAGCCTTTCAGGGCTGAGCAATGTGCCTACATATAATACTGCAGAAGAGCAAGTACTCACATGCCCTTGATCATCCAGCTCGTTATTGGTAAGCTTCAGTTTGTCAAAGCTGATCACTTGTCTCATCCATGTCTCCCCAGAAGCGGGTGAATCAGGATGAATATAAACGCGAGGCGGTACTGGGGAGTCAGCATTACCAGCGACCATCCACTTGGAGCTATGATAAACATACCTACAAAAGGAAAACAAATACCTATAACCACAAAATAATTCATCAGATCCATTCAGTATTAATACATTAGAGCCCTTGCATACAGCAAGAACCCATCAATTATCAAAACATGAAAGGACATAATTCTACGTAAATAAAAGTAATTTTTTTAGTTTCATAACATAGTTCTGGCACCTGCAAAAACGAGGTTAAAAACCATGCTCTGATTTGACCTAAGTCTTCGTAAAATCAATCAGTCTTAATACTCCACACCGAGCTTTAAGCTGGTGTCAGTTCATTGATTGCTACAGCTCTGCTCTGAATAGGCATCAGCAAAGAGGGAAGAATCTGGTCCTTCATTTATCAAATCGAGTAGTAATTCCATATTTGGAAGATTTAACATGTTGAGTCTAATATAAGAGTCTATAAATAAAGCCATTGAAGGGAAAGAACACTATGATTGGGAAAAATAATGAAAGTATGTCAAACTGTGCTCCTGATATTTCCACAGACCATACTAATTGCCTTGAATAGTATTGCATAAAGGCTTAAAAATGAAAACACAGAGTCTGTATTTCATTTGATAGGCCAATGCTGACAAAGTAATTTTACAGTAAAAATAGCGCCTACTTTGGTAGAAGATTTATTTTGAAGGCGGACATTTCACAGAGCAATTTAAAAAGCACTAATTGAAAGTTATTTTATTCAAGTACAGTAAAATTCCAGTAATTCAGCTATATTTTTAATAAAAACAAGAAAGACTTTATCAAATATATTTGTACAATTCAGCTCTTTATTAGAAAAACAACATAATCGGAACAAATAACTGAGTGATCCAATGCACGTATCGGTTCATACAATTCAGATCAAACTGCATAACTAAGATCTGGAATGGTGGTGAAATTCTCTCCTGGGGACAAATTCTCAGCCCCAGATCACTGTTATAACATTTTCCATTTATTTTGTATTTCTTGGTTTATATGCTTTCCCCACAAAAGTAAATAAAGTTATAAATACACATAAAACATTTTGAGCAACAACTTAAGCTTCCAAGTATTTACAAGGTCCAGTTTTCCTAGAAATCTGTACCTAGATATAATTTTCTTCATTTACATTTAGTTTTAATATCTGCTCTGTCAGCTAAAGACTAGGCTCTATGTAACTGCTGTCATGTCTATGACATTTTAAAATTTGCAAGACAGTTTGTGAAGCCGCACAAACAGCCAGAGTTAAACTAAGAGTCAGTAATAAAAAGCACAGCAAAGAATGAACTTTACATCAAGTAAAATTGTAAAATATTAATATTTAGCAAAATAGCTAAAAGTGTGGTTACCACATAACTACAGAAATTTATATCTGTCAACTAAGAAAATACTGCCCTTCATACAACTCTCGTTAAGTTACTTCAGCTGAGCACCACGTATCATACTGGGCAGACAGTGCAGGTCATTATGACTGTAATTATTTTAAATGAAATTAGGTTTAAATAACTCATATTCAATATAACTGCTTTTAATTTTTAATATTAACATTTTAATAAATTTGAAATTATTACATTGGTTTTTTCTATGAATTTAGGAATTGCTCAGACCTTCTAGGAATTATATGTTTAGATTGTTAAGTAAATGCACACATGCAACACAATGCAAGAAAAGATTTTCATTTGAACTGTACTGCATTGGTCCAAAGAAAAAAGGCATTCTTCCTCTATGGTACAGTCAGTAAAGTCTCCCCTAACTGAATATGCTGGGCATCCTTAGCACTGCTATCTGTCCCTTTTTGAAAGACATAAAATCTAAAATGGTCCTAAGAAAGATCTTATACACCACACGAGAAAATAACAAAATAGAAGTCAATGAAGTAAGTACAGGAAAAACACAGGGCAGTGTTTGGTTAGGAAACAAAGCAGCATTCCTGCAGAACCAACCTTTTAGTCTTGGTCTGAAATATTTCTAGTTCTACAATTAAATGTGCAGTGGTTTTCCCTACATTATACTAAGTATAGGTTAAAACAATCAAACCAGCAATTGGTAAAGACCTGATCCTGTCTCCGCTGAACTACTTTGGCCAGGCTCCCTCTGGCTACTATGGGATTGCATTTGTGAAGCAACACCTACGAAACAACTTCAACTCACAACAGTAACTGCTGCGGGCTCAATCCTGCAAACATTTCTACAGCACCAGAGGTTTCTGCAGTGTCTAACTAGCTCCCTCAAAAGACTACTGTCGAAACAGTGAGAGCTTCAGCTCTTCCTACTCCTAAATGTTTGAAGAACAGCCTCTTTGGTTCCTCACATTATTTTTCAGACAATAATACCATTAATTCTTTAAAAAACAGTCATTAGAAACATTACCCTTTTTTAATCTAAGGAACCAAATATCTCAGTGATAAATAACTTTTAAATTAAATTATATAATCAATTTCAAGCATGACAAAGAAAACTTATACGTAGTTAAATCAGACATCCATATTAACATACTAACATTAATATTATTAATGTTAATGCCAATGAGCACTAGAAAACGTACATTTTCTTATTTATTTGTTAATAGAAAATAATTCCCACTAACAGAATGAAGAATATAATATGGTAACATTTACTGACCACACTAGAACTGCACTCTGAGAGCCAAAACCCAAGCATCTGCCAACAGTACATACACAATGTGAGGCAAATATATCGTAAAGAGCTTCAACAGAAATCTTAGTTGCTTTTGCACACTTGGCGCAATGTTTTTGTGTTGTTTTTTTTTAAATGCACTAGGATGAAAATAGAAATCTTTACAGAGAGTTAAACATGATCTTTTGCTAATTTATATCGTGTTAACATTTTCTTCCCTATTTGCTCCCTACGGCTTGCATCAGATATTTTTTGCCTGAAAGTCACCATACCTGTATCTTTTGTTATCCACTGGCACAATATCCATAGCAATATAATACTGCTGATGTGGGTCTAAACCTGAGATCTTCACTCTCATCGCGGGAAACATCCGCCTGAACATGGAAAGAGAGAGGTCATTTTTAATACGAAACAGACTCGGGAATGGTTGTTTAGGAAAAGTAACCGCTTCGTGGGATTTTTCTCGTTCTTCCTTTTAGCCTACAGAGTCCTTTTGGACGATTATAGTTACATAGCCATGAAATGGCCCATTCGATATGTCAAAACAGATTTCTAAAGTGCATTTACTGGAACAATGCTTCGTATGTTTGGGGATACGCTTTGGGAGTAGAGCTATTACCACATCATTTCAACTTTATTGTTAGACAGTAAATCATTTGGTTTTGAGACTTTACCTTAGCAGTACACGCATTTAAAGCCCGTTTGAGATATTAGTTAGAAATGTATTCCTGGAGATACGCAAACACCACCTCCACTCAGGAAGACCAAGTCGTTCAGAAAGGCAAATTGCCACTGAAGATTCAACTCATAGTAGAAAATGCTGAATCGTTCTAGTATCAGCAAATTAGAAAGCTAAATCCACGGTGATACAATTATGACACCGCAAGGATGCAGTTATAAAAGCCAATGTGCCATGCTGTAACCCAACAATATGGTCTTTATTGAGACGGGACTTCCTGTCTGCAACTTACTAAAGGTGAAGTGCGAGAGCTACTCTGTCTTTGAAAGGTATAGTAAAACTTCTTTATTGAAAGCAGAAACGAAACTACGAGCTCATTTCTGGGAGGGAAAAAAAAAAAACAACTAACTCCCCACCACCACCAGAAACCTCCCAAAGCAACACTAAAACAAAACAAAAAAGATCACAACCCAAAGGTTGAAGATTTAGACCCTTCTTTGGAGAAAATGGATTAATTAACCAGTGAGGTGATTTTAACATAAAAATGCCCTTCTTAGCTTGGCATGCCTTTTATCAGAAAACTTCATTCTTGAAGTCAAATTTCAAAAAACAATATCCTACTGATGAGCTGATTACCTGACTGCAAGCTAATAAAATACTTTTCTGTATTTTTGAGTGACTAAAACAAGCCTACCTGGAAATCTTAAAACTTAGGGATTTAAGACAGAAACTAACTTACAGAGAAACTGNATATACACACACATATCTATAAAAATCAATTAGAAGTCGTTACTGAAAACAAAATCTTATCTCCGTCATTTCTGAACAAGTAGGAGGGTAAAAACCTGACTGTGGTTAACTGTTTTTTGCTGTTATTTCAGTGCACCTGTAAGATAAAAGAGAAAATCTCCGACTGGACTCTCTTAAGACAAATGTTGCTTTGTGCTGTTTAAGAATGCGTTTCAATCATTAATAAAGCCCCTCTGAAAATGTAGACGGTAGCATATGGATTCAATAAAATATGTTTTTCTAATTTCTAATAAGTTCAGATACTTTTATACTACCCAGGTTTTTACCATGTGTATCCCCTGGAAACGGAAAAAGCTTCCCCCCAGAAGGGCACGACACTCCCAGACCTCGCCCTAATGAACAGGAAACCCGAAACGCCGCATGCTCCCGTGCCCATCCAATATTATCGCCATCTACCTGCCTCGTAAATCTGGGGGTTCCCCCGGTTTTCGCCCGCTTTGATGTACCCGCCCGCCCCGGGAGAGCGCGGGTGGCGGCCCCGCGGTGCCCGTTACCTTCCCGCCTTGGTGATGATCATCTCGGTGCCGATCTCGTGGAAGCGCTTCCAGAGCTCGGCGCCCTGCAGATCCACCCGCGGCGCCTGCGGCGTGGGCAGCGGCGACCCGGGCCTCGAGCCCTTGGGGGAGCCGCCGGGGGAGGCGGGCGGGGAGGCCGCCAGGAAACCCTCCTCGCAGCCGCCTGCGGAGAGAGCGGAGGAAGCGAGAGGGTCGGGGGAGCGCGGACCTCGCGACCAGGAGACTCCCTCAGCCCCGGCCGACCCGAGGCCGCGCCCCGCGGCAGCGACCGAGTACGCCGGAGCGGGACCCGGCCGCATCCTTGGATCCGGGGCGGGGGTTGACCCGAGTGCCGGGGCCACCCCAGGACGGCCGGGCTGCCGGGGACGAGCCACCCCCGGCCTGGGCCGAGGCGGGCGGCAGCGAGTTCGCGGTGCGGAGCTGGCGACGCATTTCGTTTGGCCACGGACTTCTGCCCCCGCAGCGCGAAACGGCGCTCCCCTCCACACACAGTTATTTGCACGCACATATATGTGCGTCGTGTGTGTGTGTATATATATGTGTAGGCATACATAGTTATATACGTAGTTGCATATGCACTCTTAGCAGCACACATACATTTATGTACTGTATAAGCGCTTTTTCCTTCCCTGGGAAACAGGCCCCGCCGCCGTCGCTCCCCCGCGCTCCGGCACCCACAGCCCCGCCGGCAGCCGCCCTGCTCCGTGCAGGGGCCGAGGAGCGCCGCGGGCTCCCACCGCCAGCGCCGGCGGGAGGGGTGGCGGGCGCCCATGCAGCGTGGAAAGACAGAAGGAATAACGGGGAATCAGAGCGGCAGTAGCGTCTGGGGAAGGGGAGCCCCAGCCGAGGATCGGGGGCACGGGCAGCGGCGGGGCGCGGGGCGGCACTCACCGGCGGGGGCGCGGGCACCGCAGCCCAGGTCCATGTCGCCGCAGGTCCTGCCAGCGGCAGCGGCGGGGGAGCTCTTGGCGCAGCAGCCGCTGCCCCCTTCGTCCTCCGCCGCCTCGTCTTCGCCGCCCAGTTTCCGCCGCTTGGGCTGCCGCGGCGGCGGCTGCGGCTGCTGCTGTTGCTGCTTCTCGGCCCCGATGAGAGCCTCCACGGAGAAGGCGTGAGCCTTGAGGCTCATGGTGGTGCCTGGCGAGGACCGCCGCTTGTCGGCCATGCCCGACACCCTACAGCCCGCGCATCCAGGCGCCCTGCGGCCGCCGACACCGGCACCCGCGCCCGGCCCGCCGCGCCGGCCGCCCTCCCTTCCTCCTGACCGCGCAGGCAAGGGGCTGGGACTTTTCCTCGCCTTTCTTTTTAAATCCGAGTTATCAGCCAAGTTTTTTTTTTTGAGGGGGGGTTGTTTTGGGGTTTTTTTAAAGTGGAAAAAAAAATCTATTCCTTTCTGCAGATGCGTTCCTTCTCTCCCCCTCCTCCTCCTCCTTCTCCTCCTCCACGTTCTGCCCTGTCTGATGGGGCAGGCAGGACTGACATGGGTAACAAACGCTCTGCGGACACAAATTAGGGCTTGTAATTGAAATTTGTTGCCTTGATCTGTCAGCACTTCCAGGCAGGAGACCTGTGGGAAGAACTCGCTCATTAGTGTCACTGCGGCGGCGGGGGCCGGGCGGAGCCGCGGTGCGGGGGCGGTGCGGCCGGGCCGCCCGCAGCCCAATCAGCGCCGCGCCGGCCCCGCCGCCCCGGCCCCGCCGCCCTTCCAGGGGGCCCCGCCGCGGCGGCCGGGCGGTGAAGGGGGGGTGCTCCACCGTCCCGCGCCCGCCTCCGCCCAGGCCGAAACAGCCCCGTGCCCCCATCCCGCGGCAGATGCGCCCCGCAATGAACGTTAATGAGACCCCCCCCCATTCGCGTCTCCCCCCGAAACTCAGAGGGAAGGGGGGCTCTCCTGGAGCGCAGCGTCTCGGTCCGGAAAACCGTTCGGACGTTCAAAAATGACGTTGTGCCCTGTCTTGCGTTAAGGATTAGGAATTATTGGTGTTACTCGGCTGTGCGCTCGGAGATTCATCGCGTTGTTATTCAAACTCTGGCTGCAGAGAGGTTCCAGCGTAGCATCCACAACCCATTCTAAACCCAACCCATTATCGCCGAGGCTGCAATAAAACAAGAATTAAGCTGAACCTTGTATGAACATAGATGCATCCAGCCACAGCAACTTTAATAATAATTATATTCAGGTGCATAGAATAGTTACGGGGAAAACTCTTTCGTATCTTTCCAGTGAGTAAAACTATTAAAGGTTTGGGAACAGATATTCTTTTCTTTGCATGCTCAGGAAAATGAAAAAAGGTTTTGAGATTTTTGTTGTGTTTTCTTTTTTTTCTTCTCTTGTTGAGGCATTTTTTTCCTTTTTTTTTTTTCCCTCAGAAATAAATGGAGTGAGGTGCTCCGTTGAAAGAAACAGAAGAGAAACTCTCCAACTGTAAAAAAAAAAAATGGGGCACATTTCACTGTTAGGGGACTAGGATCTCAAACTCACTTCACTGTTTGGGGCAACAGAGAGAAGGAAATTCGTGGTGTGGTTCGTCTGTGTCACAGCCTTGGAGGTCCTATTCGGGCCGTCGAGTGGCACAGCTGAGATTTCTGATCGTAATCTAAAACGGAAATAGCTGCCATTTAGGAGACATAACCGTTTCCACTATCGCATTTTACCTACCCGTAAAATGCAATTTTGTTCCTAATTTCAATAGCTGTTTCGTCAGAGAATGTGAGGAATGGGCTCACTAATAAATACACCCTAGAGAAAAATTATCCCTTCAAATAAGGTTATCAGCGTTAAAATTGTAAATGTGCTTTCCAGACCTGAAAAAATTAGGTATGTGGCAGAAAGATAATTAATTAAAGAAAAAATAAAACAAAACAAAAACGAAACCGCAGTAGGAACACTAACGCTCTCCACATTGGAAGAAATGGCAACTTGTCTAAGATTCGTCACCACGAAAAAAATTCCCCTGCAGTGACTGTCGCTCTGAATTGATAGGGGAGAAAAAAATGCTTAATGCCTGTCACCGACGAACAGTGCTGCGGAGTTAGTTTATCTTTACATTAAATCTGGGACATATTAAGTGTTCCGTGGTCTAAAGTCTGTCTGCTCTGCCTATTCCAGCCGTGATTGAATCTGAAGGAAATCAGATGTGCAAGAGTGATCGAAACGTGCTAAGCTAGAGAATCTTGCAAGAGTTTAAACGCCGTCGCGGTGGGGATGAGATCGATAGGGGAGAGGAAGGAAGGAAATGGATGTTATATGTCCGAGAGCGCTCCGGCAGCCTCCTCGCCATCTCCGACGGCACCTTCCGCCGCCCCGCTCCGCTCTCCTGGCGACCGCGGCCGCCGGGCCACTCGCCACACCGCCCGCGGTGCGACGGCCCCGGCGGGGCCCGCGGGAGCAGGTACCAACTCCGCCGCCGCAGCCCGGGGCGGCGCGGAGGAGCGCGGGAGGAGGAGGGCGCGCTCCGCGGTGGCGGGGCCAGGCTTGCGGGTGGCGGGGGCGCGGGGGCTTTGGAGCGAGGCTGCGCGTCTGGAGAAATGCGGCGCGGGCCCGGAGAGCGGGGCAAGCCCCGAGCCGCCGCAGGGACCTGCCGGTGCAGGGGCGAGTTGCCCCCCTCCTCCGCCGGGCTCTCTGCGGCTCGGCACAACGCCGGCGGGGACGGGAAAGAAGCGGCGGGGCTGCCGCGGGGGTCCCGGAGAAGCCTCTGGGCACGGAGTTGCTGATCTTGCCCAGTTTTTATTCTTTTCCCTCCCCTTAGAACCAGCTGCCGCGCGTTCCCGCCGAGGAGACCCTGACCCTTTGCTCCGCACCGCTCCGCACCCCACCGCGCCGCACCGCGGGGTGCGCGCAGCCTGCCCGCCCTACGGCGGAGGGACAGATCGCACGTATTGTTTTTATTTCTAGAGGGCGGGAGCTTGTTGATTTTTTTTCCTCCTCGCTAGATTTCTGTAGGTTGCTGTGTGGCATGGTGTTTTCATTTCTTGACTTTTTAAAATAACTGTTTGGATTTAAATTTATCGAACAACCCGTGATCCATACGTCTGTCCGATTAATTTTTTTATGGGATGATGAAAGAGAGAAGAATCTCTCTATATAATGATCTGCTAATGGAGTAGTATATGTATCCAAAACACCTTTCTGGGGTTACTTTTATTTCTGGACCTTAAAATGCGCTCCGAATTTTAAGGCGATTGGATGAGGCGCTGCTTATTTGACGTAGGACAATCACATATTTAGACTTCCAGGGGAAAGAAATACTGTTTTTCACCAGAAAGGTGTTTTCCTGCCCTTCTTTCGAAAATTTCGAGTGACATTAAAGGGATGATTATGGCCATGTTTTGTCATTCACAGTGTGATTTCTGCAAATCTTTTCGAACATTGAAACCGGGTGCCACCAGAGAGTAAAATATCCACAGCATCCTTTTTCCTTCAAAGACACGATTTTCTGTAACTTCCCAGCAGGGACCCATAGGAACGGTCACTAAGGAAAACATATTTATATCATTAACCGCTTCTTCCCCCCCCCCTCAAGTGAGCTTAATCGCTTCACCCTAAGGAGACGTGACATGTAAAACTGACAGCAGGTAGCTGACGGCGGCTAGTCAGTCAAGCATTATCAACTGAAGAAAAATTACAGACGCCAATGAGAAAGTCGTCTGCAAACTCCGTTTCTGTGCATACCAAATGCACCTTCGCCCCCGTCCCTTTCCCTTGCTCTTGCTTGCTGGTGTCGCGTGCTAATAACCACTTCAACTTTCCTATAACGGGGTGAACGGCAAGCCTAGAGCGACTGTCCTAGAGATACAGATGACCTTCAAAAGAGGGTCGAGAGAAGGTTAAGCGCGGCTTAAATTTAAAAGAAGCAGGAAAGCCCCCTGAGCCCCTCTGGCCGCGGCGGGGTATTACAGCCCACCCGTTCCGTTCCGCCGGGTACCCTCCGGCTGGGTTGCTTTCCCCCCTGCCAGGCGGGCTGCAGCCCGGCGGAGAAGGTGGCACCAAGGAGTCGGCACGAACGGTGGTCCAGAGCGGCGGCGGGGCCCTCCATCGGTTTCCGATGAGAGCGGCCCAGACCTTGCTCCCGCTTGTGTGTGCCACCTTCCGCGGGCGCATAACGAGCGCGGCTCATAGCGAGGGGCGCAGGCGGTCCCAACTCATCCCACGCCTGACCCAGGCCCACGGAGCCTTGGTAACCCCCTAGTACTCGTCTCGGACACACTGCCTCGTGCACCCGCCCGACGGGCTTTAGCTTCGAGGCCGAGCTGGGACGAGAGGGAGCGGGGCCGGTTTCCCACCACTTGAGACTCCCTGGGCTCAAACTGGACAACTCGACTGACGGTTCCCACAACAAGGGGACGGCGAGGCCGATCCGGACTCAGCCTCCAGGATCAGAAAGCATGCAGCATCCCGCTCCTTGCTCCTAGCTCAGGAGCCGAGAAAAGGGAACCGAGCCGGGAAGGCGAGGGCAATCCCTCGCGCCCTCATCGCACACTGAGCCCTTTGCCGCCTGCGGTGACCCAGATTTAGCCCGGACCGGGGGAAGCCTCGTTGCGACTATCGCCAGTCGCCCCGAAGCCAAGCCAGGAGCGTGGCCACGGCGGCGGAACGGCGGCCCTCAAACAGCCGCCGCGAGTGGAGTTAGAGGATGGCTAATCGGTGCGGCGTGGCACATTTTGTTCCCCCTTCAGCACCGCGGCGCACTGCGCCGTGACGGCCGCGCATCGAGGAGACGAACGAGTCGGGGCCGGTTCGCCGTGCCCGCTGACGGGGAGTCCGGTCCTCTGGCC